GGCGGGCGCGGGGCTGCCCGGCGGCGCTCGGGGCCGTTTGGCGGCGTTTGCCGGGGCGAGGCGCGAGCTGCCGGGCGGCCCCAAGGGCCGGGACCCCCCTCTCCTTCCCTCTGCTCCTGCCGCCGCTTCCCCGCCCGCCCCCATTGCCCCCCCCCGGCGCGAGGCAGCCGGGCCGAGCCGGGCCGGGCCGGGCCAGGCGGCGRCGGCGGCTCCGTGTCCTTGCGCTCGCCAGGCGAGGAGCGCGGCTGGCCGGGCGGAGGGCCACGGAGAGGAAAGTTAACAATGCTGTGAAAATATGTTTGCAGAAAATAGACAATTGTTGGATTAAACGTATTCAAGTATGAAATAATGCCTTTTTGTGTAAAAAACCTCAGCAATGTGAGCGTACAAAAGTTCCCCTGTGGCAGTTACTTGCTCCCTTTGTGAGCTTTGCGCTCCGGCGTCTCCACTTGGCGCGTTTAACTCAGAGCCCCCCTTTAAACGCGATTGTTTCTTTCTTTTTAATGACATTTACCGGATCAAAACATGCTGTTAATTCGATCAGAAAGCTTTACCCTCCCTAACAATGCCACAATAATTTCTCCTGAAGTTTGTTAAATTGACCAAAATTAGGCAAATGAATAGGGGGTCTGTAGGCGACCCCGCTCGCAGGTGACACCGCATAATGCACTCTCGGGCCAGCTGCGATCCCCTCTTTATTTGCCCCTCTTTTCTTTGACCCGCATTATTAAAATTTAGACCCAATGAAACTATTCATACTTTTCAATGGGACATTTTCCTATAGGATAATAGGCTACAAATTGAGCCTCTCCAAAGGGGGGAGCCGGGGGGGCGGCCCGGCGGCGCCCGGGCACACAGGGACACAAAAAGGGAGCGTCGTGTGCCAAAGGCGGGCGGGCCGGCGGCGGGGGGGGCGTGTGCCAGCCCCGGCCCCACACCTGCCGGGCTGCCCCCGCCGCATAAAGCGGGGTAAACACAAAAAGCCGCGCTGCCATCTCTCATAAAGATGGACGTGTCACCAAGTCGTGTGAGAAAAGCCTGAGAACAAACGGGGCCACTCCGTCTCCAAGGGCTCTCCCTTGAACTGGGCGGAACAGCCTATTAAGGGCTTACTTAATTACTTTAATGACTCTGGACAGGCTTTAAAATGCAGTCAGCGCTCGGGCAGGGGAGGGGCGGCGGCGGCGGCGGGGGGGAGAGGCCGCCCTTGGCGAGCGGCGCTGGGCGCGCTGAGGCCGCCGCTTCCCCCGCGCCCTGCGCCGCTTCCCCGCGCCCGTGGGGGCGCCGCGACCCGCGTGGGGCAGCGCGGGCCCCGGCGAGGGGGGAGCCCGCGGGGGGGGGGACACGCACACACGCACGGAAGGGGCAGCCGCCGTGGCCGCCTCGCCATCCCTGATCTTTAATGCATGCCCAGCGCCGCTCTCCCTAATCCTGCGGGAGCGGGGCGGCCCCGCCGTGCCCCCCGGGCACCCCCCCGCCCTCCCCAAGGCGTCGCGCGTTTATAAGCGGCCCCGCGACGCCGATGGGGCCGCAGTGCCCACCATGGCCTCCAAGCTGAAGGAGCGCAGAGTGAGTTGGCGCCCGCCGCCGCGCGCTCGCCACGGCCGGCGGCGGTTGGCGCACGCCGCCGCTCCCCGCTGCCCCACACCCACTTTTTTATTATTTATTTCTTAAAAAAAAAAAAAAAAAAGAAAGAAAGAAAGAAAGAAAGAAAAGAAAAGAAAGAAAGAAACAAAAAAGAGAGATATAGGTTAAGGCGACCAGGCCATCCCCGGCCGCGCCTGCCCTGCGTCCGAAGCCGACCCCGCCGCTCGCCTGTGGGCGCCCGGTGCGCGGGGAGCCGCAGGCTCAGGGCCGGCCGCCCCGCGCCCTGGGGCTGGGGCCGGGGCTGGGGCCGGGCCGGGCGCGGCGGCGGTGCCCGGTCCCGGGGCTGACAGGGGCTCGGGGGGCGGCGGGGGCCGGGGGCGCCGTCGGGGCGCGGCGCGGAGAGGCCACGGGCGCCGCTGACGCGCGCTCTGTTTTGCAGAGGACGCCAGTGTCGCACAAGGTGATCGAGAAGCGGCGCAGGGACCGCATCAACCGCTGCCTCACGGAGCTGGGGAAGACGGTGCCCATGGCGCTGGCCAAGCAGGTAGGCTGGGGCGGCCCCCCCGCGCCGCGCCGCGCAGCGCCGCGCAGCAGCCGCGCCCGCCCCGCTCACGGCGCGTGTTGCAGAGCTCGGGGAAGCTGGAGAAGGCGGAGATCCTGGAGATGACGGTGCAGTACCTGCGCGCGCTGCACTCGGCCGACTTCCCGCGCGGCCGCGAGAAGGGTAGGTGCCGCGCGGGGCTGCGCGGGGCTGCGCGCGGCCGCGCCGCCCGCGCCGCCGCTCAGCGGCCCGCGCCGCCCCTTGCTCCCCGCAGAGCTGCTCTCCGAGTTCGCCAACTACTTCCACTACGGCTACCACGAGTGCATGAAGAACCTGGTGCACTACCTGACCACGGTGGAGCGCATGGAAACCAAAGACACCAAGTACGCGCGCATCCTCGCCTTCCTGCAGTCCAAGGCGCGCTTCGCCACCGAGCCCCTCTTCACCCCGCTGCCCGAGCCGGACTTTGCCTCCTACCCGCTGGCCGAGTGCGCGGCCCACGGCCCGGGCGAGCCCGCGCTGCCGCCGCCCGCCGCGGGGCCCTTCCCCTGGCCCGGCGCGGCGCGCAGCCCCCCGCTGCCCTACGCGCTGCCCCCCGCCGCGCTCGGCGGCAGCGCCGCGCAGCGCGGCGCCTTCCTGCCCTCCGCGCAGGGCCTCGACCGCCACTACCTCGGCCTGCTCGGCCCCCCGCACGCCAGCGCGCTGGGGCTGCCGCCGGGCCAGCCCGGCCCGCTCCTATAGCGCCCGACCCACCTCTCCCCTCTATTTATGAGCGCGGGCGCTGCGCGCCGGCTGGGCTCGCCCCGCGCGCGGGCGCTGCGCGGAGCTGCGCGCGGAGCTGCGCGGGGCGCGCAATAAAGTTTATCTATTCCGACTGCYCTGTCTCGTCTCCGCGAGGGAGCTGCAGTGGGAGCGCGTGTCCTGTCCCGCGCTCCTCGAGGGGGAGCGGGCGGCCGCTGCGCGCCCTGGAACTGCCCGCAACTGCGCGCGGTGCCGGTGCCGTGAGCGGCRGGGCTCGTTCCGTGCGCCCGTCCTGACCCATCGCGTCCCGTCCCGTCGGCGCGGCCGGGCAGAGGAAGCGCCGGGCTCCCTCGCTCGCCGCCGGGGCCGGGATTTGGGCGATGCGGGAGCCAGGGGCGTGCGGGAACCGCGGGCGGGCGACACCGCGCAGCGCGACCCGTGGAGAGCTGGCTGCGGCGCTGGCGCCGGCCCTTCGCAGCCCACGGGGCCGCGGCCGCACCTGAACCAGGGGCGACCCGGGTGTCCCCAAGCCCTTCCCCGCCGGGCTGGGGGGCCCGGGCCGCGAGGGGCACTGAGCTCCCCCCGGCCCGTCCGCGCGTCCCGGCGGGAGCGGGGCCGGCGCCGCGCGTGCAAACGCGTGTCCCGCACCCACGGCACCCGCCCGCGCGCGGCCAGGGCAGATGCGACAGCGCCTTTCACTGGGGAGCCTTAAGCCCCGTGAATCCTCCTCGGCACTGAAGCGTTACCGATAGGGGGTTTCCCTGGAAATATAAATTATTAATATATTCGGCATCTTGGTTAACCAAATTAGAAACTTTCCTGTGCTAAGTAGATTTTCTCTCTGGGATTAGCAGAGGGCCACCATGGTCAAAACGGTGGTCATTTACATATAATTTTGCAAACTTGCACTGGTCCATGACAGTCTTTGTATCTCAAATGTTGCTATTCTGGATTTTCTTTTTTCTTTTATTTGCGTTTAGCTGTGGAGGATAAACCCCCCTTTGGCTTTACAATGGCTTTTGGATAAAAGTCTTCCCGGGAACCCGCGCACACGCTCGCTCCCTTCCCGCCCGTGTCTCTGCGGGGCTCTGAGGTGGCAGCCCCGGCTCCAGTCCAAACACACTTGGACTTGTTGGGAAGCGGGGGTGGCCTCGGCAGCAGCGGAGCCTCCAGGTGCTGCCCCACGCACAAGTGGATGCCCGTGGACACTGCRCCCCCCTTTCCTCTCCGCTGCACACTCTGTGTGGGGAAGGCAACGTTGGGATCAACGGATAGCAAAGTAGGAGCTGACACTTCCGTCTCTGCTATTGACTCTCAATCGTTCGTTACCCAGACTCTGGTCTATGGTGGCAATATTGCATTTTCTATCTACTTATCATGAGGATTAATTGTTTGCACAACCATGGAAGTAAAATATTATTTCTAAGACCAAAGAGACATCAGCAGCCTGGAGTGCCCAAACCCTACCTTGAGGGCTCACGTTGCCAACAGGCAAGGCAGGCAAAACGGGSAGAAAGTCCTGTAAGCAGGAAGGATCTGCAAGCCTTGGACACGCAGCACAGCTCAGCGCTTCTGTTGCTGCCTGTGGGTTTGCAGGGGAGCCCGAAGCCGCCTCTCAAAGGCAGATTTGGCAGCTCTGGTGGCAGTGCCACATGCGGCCCTTCCACCTTCAGCGATGGCGCCCGAGCTGCCCCGTGTGGTCCCACGCTCGAGCCAGCGAGCATGAGCCTCATCATCGTGGGGAGGCCTCATCAATCAGATTCCAACCACCTCATGAGAAGAATATTTTTTATCTTGCTTTAGGCCCTGCTTGCAGCTCGGCACCACGACCAGTCGTGTCAGCACAGAAACTTCCTGACCGTGGCTCGGTACCTGCTGAGGACGCTGATCCCACAGCACCTTCGCCAACCCGTCCTCACGCGCACCAGTAAACCCGAGAGCCTTGAGACGAAGGCTGCTTTAGGAAGAGAACTCTTCAGCAAGGTGCATATCAAAACTGCACATCATATATATATAAGTTAAAGCTCTGATRGATACCCACACACTGCATGGCAGAGTGGCATGTTAAAGCAAACAAAACTCATTAAAAAACAGAATGCCACCAAGAACAATTTGATGTAGCATCAAATACAAAGAAAAAGGATCAATTTAGAAGATTGAAATTTTCTTAGCAATACAGTGGGTTGTATGTTAAATACAGTCCAGCAGCTGCCTTACATTGAGCTTCACTTTATGCTCTTGGAAAGAGCTTCTACTACACAGAGCAAGCTGGAGCACTGCGGTGAACAACAAGCAGAGCAGCAGCGTGCAGGGCAGTGTGCACTGCCACGAGGAGCCCGCGGCACAGCCAGCGGCACGGGCTGATGGACAGCAGAAATGCTGGTCCCTCCTAGGCACAGGGATATTCTACATTCACTTCTAGCAGCTTTGCAGTGGGCTTTTGGGCTGCAGATGGCCAGCGCATATATGTGTATATATGCATATATATATCTATATATATATGTGGGKTTTTTTTCTGTGAACTTTTTCTGAAAAGATTTGTTGTTTCAGTTGGGATCAAATTTTGAGAGAAAGCAGCAACCTGCATCCTCATGCTGCAGCAAGCTACAGAGCTTCAGGAGGGATGGGGACTGTGGCAGGGAGAGGGAGCCTCTGCTGTCACAGCCGCCTTCTGAAGGCTCTTCAAAGAGTCTCCAGTCACCTGGTAACTGCAAACAGACAAAAATCTATGCCTTAAGTTTCAAATAACAACCATGTGCAAGGAGGACAACCCCGCTTTGAGCAGCTCATCAGGGTTGCCACGGTGGAAGGTCAGGATGCAGCACGTTGGAGAGTCTGTAGGGCCACAGACTGGGCACTGCAAGTGTTATCCCTGCTCTCACTCACCCTTTCACTCACATACCAGAAAATGCTCTATAATCTTTCAAAGAAAGTTTTAAAAAATGGTGATTTTTTTAGGTTCACAAAGCTCTTAGGTTCACAATGTCTTCTGTGCAAGTAGTTTCGTGTTCAAAATTTCAAAAATTCAATTAAAATCAGTGAGAGGTCTTGGTTTCTGGTGTGTYAACACTTAGGATAGTGAATGTGGCTTTAGGAGTCTTGGGAAACCTTTGCCTCTGGTGCTCAGCTCTACCTGGGTCTCACCAGGCTGAAATTCAAGAAGAAGGGACCTAAAGGTTTGTCTATTAACTTATTTAAGTATCATAAAGCAACATCATATATCTTTTCAGTGGTCTGACAATAGAAGAACATTCTAAAATTTGTAAGCATCCGACATGAAACTACATGTTGTGGATGTYTAACAGAGAAAGGGCTAAGAATGAATTTTGCACCCTAAGCTGCCTTGCCAGTCAAGAAACCAAGAAGAGGCACCTCCAGAGGGCAATTCACCCGGCTGGTTGAAGGCACTTGTGGAAAGAGCTGATTTGCCTCAGAAGGTGCCTTGTCCTCTTCTGAACCTGAAGGGAATGCTGGACCTTTCATTCAAACTTCAAACTCAGAAGATTAGGTGAATGAGGTGAATCCCACCCTCTCCACTGCGGAAAGCGACGTAGCCTCTGCTGCTCAGGCGTTTCAAGGGGGCTGCACATCTCYGTGTGAGAATACAAAGCACGGGCCAAAACAAAAGTTTCCTTCAGCCTTCACAGGCTCAGCCAGATAAAAGCTTCTTTCCTCATSTCATCTCATCGGCCAATTTTTGTGTTTACTAAGCAGACTAGAAGACGTAACAAGTCCAGCTACTGAACTGAAGCAGCTGGCGAGCGTTGAGGGCTATCCCAGTGAGAGGTTACCACTCTGAATGCCCTGGCTGCAGGTCCAGTTAATAAACGTTTCAGGATCGGATGTACAAGCCAGTGCAAGAGCTGCCTCCCCCTGGTTGTCTGCAGCAAGTCCCATCTCAGCCCGGCCCCGAGGCACTTGCTGCGAGGCAGCAGCCAGGGGTGGCTCTGCCGTGGGGCTCCGGAGCCGCCGTCCCCACAGCACCCACGGGCTCGGCCGGGGGGCCGCACGGCAGCCGCCCTGTCCCGTGCCCCCCGTCGCCGGCACGAAGCCCTTGGCACCAAGGGATGCCGGGCTGAAACACCTGCATACAAAGACAGAAAACTGGCATCGTGAACACCTTGTACTTCATACTATTTGTTTCTTCCACATAATACCTTCATTGACAGCACAGTTATTTATTCTGATACAATAATCCAATCAAATCTTTTATAATGTGAATGTTTAATCATTTAAAAATGAACACAGTAAATGGCAGAACAGACAAGTGGATCTCAGCTACCTGATCTGCACAGGAACATACATTTGGGGGCGTGCAGATGGTAAGGTCTGTTTGTGTAGGTGCATTTCCCTCCTGTTCCTTAAAGATCTGCCTCCCAGGCACACATTTTGGGAGCAATGTCACCTGAAGGGGTTACATGTCAGTCCTACTCAGTACGGACTGCTTGACACCACACAATTCATGAGGCAGCTTCACATACAATACAATAACGGGGAAGAAAGATAAAGCTAGAGGAGACAACACGGACAACGTTGTTCAGATCATGTAGTCATTTTTCATAGGGATGCCCGTGGTCCTTTAAAAGAGGAAAGATTTAAAATAAAGCGTAATTGTATTTATAATAAAYAAAGCCTATAATAAAATAGGCAAGAGAAATGCAGAGTGTAAGAGAGGATGAGTGAAGCCAGTGCTGATGGAGACGAATGGAATCCACGCCATGGAGCAGCCTGCTTGGGCTAGTTGGTGGGCTTGTGAGCCTAGCACTGAGAATGGCATGGAGATACGCCATTCCCACTCCTAGCTGGAAGCACAGCTCCGGCCTCTTCTTCCTTCTCACAGCTCGGTCCTCTGCTTGAGGACTTCTACTCGCCATCATCTCTAGGTGGCCTCTGCTTCCAGCTAAGGGACATCTTCATGCGACATCTTCATGCGACATCTAATGGGACATCTTCATGCGACTCCCAGGCTGCTCCTTTAGTCGTACCTTAAAAACCTGCGC